AATCCTACCCTGGAACAGGTTAAGATTCTTGTGATTGGTGAAACATCCTTTTCGGAGTCGGTTCCAAAGAGTAGCGATTCACCGGAAGAATCTGTTTGAGTGGAATTTACTCCCCCCCAATGGACTAAGGAGGAAATGTGGCTGGTTCGCTACTATGTAAATGCTATGGCGAGTCCTTGCCGGGAAGTTTTGAATTGACTGGGCCAGAAAATGTAGTTCGTCCGAGCACTTTCCATTGAAGTAGTGATAGAACATTGAGAGGATTGTCATTTCCGCCAGTGAGTGAGAGGGTGAAGGTTGAGAATAATTCGTCACCCACACAAGGACTCGGAGACGGTTTTAGACTCTATCAAGGCAGGAGAGTGAGGTCTGGGCAGCTCCCGCCCAAATATGACAACAGTTCTCTATTTTTTGGTCTGATCTATCTATCTATCTATCTATCTATCTATCTATCTATCTATATATATATATATATATATATATATATATATATATAGAGAGAGAGAGAGAGAGAGAGATATGGCCTAAAGATTGCATTTAAGCATAAAACAGACTATCGCTACTCGATGTTGACCTCAGTGTCTACTTTTATATTTATATACGCTCTATCTCTGATTTAAGCATAAATATAGCATATCTTAAAACTATATTTTTTATATATATATATATATATATATATATATATATATATATATATATATATATATATATATAGACATACTACCAGCACCTTGGGTAGACGCTTCACATGTCACTTATCTGATCAAAGTGCTACAAAAAAAAATCTAGCAACCCGCAAACATCTACCAATTCTGGTCGAAAATATTATATATATTCTCTATAAATCACATTATCGGAAACATATTGCTGTGAGAGAGGTACTATGTTTATATATATTAAACATTTCGTTCTCACTGTCAACCTCACGTTATCTAACAATGGGAATGATGTGTTGAAAGTTTAAAAAAACAAAAAGACGCACATATTTTTCCGTATATTACAATCAAATGAGGCAAGAAATGTAACGGCGAAAATCACTTTTATTTCGCACGTACTTTCGATCTCTTTCTGAACTTGTGAAATAAAAGTGATTTTCACTGTTACATTTCTTGCCTCATTTGATTGTAATATACGGAAAAATATGTACATTTATGTATCCAGGTAAGATTAGAACGAATAGAGTACAATTTCAACGTTCATAACATTTAATTTAAAAGAGGGTTTAATACAAAGTAGAGCAATATTATTTATTTTAGGATATTGCATCGAAAACATCTCATCAGGCGATTGTAATTTACAATCGCCTGATGAAATGCATTGATACGCATCGAAACACGACAGCGATTTTAACATGTTTTCGATGTAATATCCCTAAACACACACGCACACACACACACACACACACACACACACACACACACACATACATATATATATATATATATATATATATATATATGAAAAGTGAATATAAATATAAATAAATATATATATATGTATAATTATTTATATATTATATGCGGTAGTGGTACTTATTAGAAAGCGCTCAATATCAGAGATAGATAACATATTTGGTTGGATAGATGTTTTGTGAAAGCGATCGTCAGACAAACTCTGACGATCGCTAAAAAACCCAGGGTCAAAAATCACATCTATCCAACATATATATATATATATATATATATATATATGTTAAACTGTCAAACATGAAAAGAAATTAACAACTCCTAAAAAAAAACTTTTGAAAATGGGCGAATGAATTTAATGTTGTAGTGTAGGAGTTCCTTCTATTCCGTACTACTGTGTCAATGGACTGCTTCTATTTATAAATATGACAAGTTCCTACATTACATTAGAGTAGGATTTGAGGAGTATTTGATTTACTCAAGTATGTCATTTCTTTGTATGAGTATTTAATAAAGCTCCTCTTTTTTGTTTTCTTTACCTCGTCTTTTGTCCTATCTCCAATTATGACCTTCCTAATTCTAGGATGCTCTGAACAAAGACAACATTATACCAATATATTGTACTGGTCGAATATTCTCGGAACATTGTATAATTTCGGCAAGATTCTTTACAAGTTCCCACATGACATCAAACGACTAATTTGATATCAAGAGAATCTCGCCGTGAGTCATAATAGATGCTCCCTGTCTATTCGATTTAACAGAACATATTTAAACGAGTCAGTGATGCATAAATCTAATACGCTCAAGATAAATCTGTATATTCAGCCAACTTATCTCCCCTGGGATATCAAGAATGGTCACAATAAGGTTCGTATCCCTCCGACAAATACTGGCTATAGAATCTGATATGAAACCGCCAATTTAATCTTTATAGATCTGGCACAATATTATAAACGTCTCCACGCAGAAAAATGGTATTATCCCCCACACTCACCCCTAATGCGAAAATGCTATCATGCTCTCGGACTTCATTATACATATCCACCACACTTTAAAAGTCCACAGATCATAATTTATTCAGACTTCAAAAAAGATAATTGCTATATCACAGACATGGCTATCACGCTTGATAAAAAAAAAGATATCAACAAAAGAATTTGGCAAACTTCCAAATTATAAAAATCTGGAGATAGTAAATAGAAAAATATAGCATTTAAACACAACCTTCATCTTTATGTGCCGTTTCTCGTCAGGGCGTAGGCAATGATGGCTCTCTACAACTTCCTGTCCCATGTAGTGCTTAATAAACTTTGTCTTTCTGTTATTTCGTCATATCCCCGCTCCGTCATCAACGGAGACAAGCTCATTAAGTATATCATGCGTTGTTTTCCCATGATCCTCTTGTCTTCTATCTGCCCCGTGGGTATCAGATTTTCCAAGCCCCACTTCCTCATTATATGCCCCAGAAATTTAAAATGTTTCTTCTTGATGCTAAGTATTACTTTCCTTTTTGTTTTCATTTTCTCCAAAACTTCGTCGTTGCTCACATTTTCGGTCTACGGTATCCTCAGTATCCTTCTGTAGAAGCAGATTTCTTTTACTTCATGTCTCCTCTTCATCTTTGAGGAGATTGTTTAACATTCGCTGCCATACAGTTCAGTACTATTTTCCTTGTTTCTAGAGAAATGTTCCTAATCCTTAGTACTTTGCTTGGCTTTTGGAATGTGACATCAGTAATTACGGTTGTAGTTGGCGTCCTCGGATTGACTGAAGAATATTTGCGGTAGACTCATACAAGGGATTCCTGGTAATCAGTGTCTCAAAGAAATGCAAATTAAATGTATTCACAAATAAAACTCACAAATTATGAAGATCTTTATCTATGTAAAGTGTGTGTGTTTTTCTTAGGCTTTTTGTTTTATTTTTGGCATTTGTAAAAATGATCAGTGGAAAATGTCATGAAGCCATTTCTGAGCTAAGGTCTCTGGTTGGGATCCGAAAGGAAATGTGGATACAACAGAAATTCAAGGAAGTAATAATAATAATAATAATAATAATAAACTAAAACTTTTCCTATTGTGGTTGGAGCTTTGGATTCAATAACTAATCAACAAAATCACTGTTACATAATCTTCCCAGGAAATCCAAAAACAGTTTTAACAAACACAGCCAATATCTTGTGACGACCTTCACCCATTTAAGTTTTTTTTGTTTTGTTTTTTTGTTTTTTTGTTAATAAATGTCTTTTGTTTAATTAATGGAAGCACCAACAAATCACATCTTTCGCGTGCCCCCCCCCCTATGTCCACTTGTTATGACCTGGCATGGGATTATAAGATAAGGTCAAAATTAAGTTGGTTTATTTTTAATAATAATTATAATTCTATCTCCTCATCGAGGTTAAAGAAATTGGAAAGCTTCAAAAGTACACTGTCGTTGCCAGGATGAAGAACGTTCAGATCGCTATTATGCCATTTATCATTGGGACGTTGGGGGTTCATATAACTAAACTCTGAAGAAATCACTGGTCGTCTCCAGCCTTTTTACAGATGTGAGATTTGAACCCTAACCCTGGCTAAGGCGGGAAAAAGGATTCAGGCGTTCGAGAATAAATGCTTGAGATATCACCTCCGTATATTCTACTGCAAGCACAAAACAAATGACTCGCGTACCGACAGAAATCTCTCCTAGCTTCTATTTAATCGTCGGAAGATGGAATGGTTTGGCCGTGTCACATGGCATACCAACCAGCCAGCCTCTGCAAGACACCGTCCTGGGTAAGACGATAAACTACACCCAACAGCAGGGCCTCTGATTAGGAGGTTTTGAGGAGCGTAGAACCACCTCTTAATTGCTGGTGTTCCCAGGTCCACTCTGACCCGTGTTGGTAGCACCTGTTAAGGTCCCTGCTATGGGCAAATAGTTAACCCTAAAACTGGGGCCAAAACACTATGAAAGTGTAAAAATAGGTTTTAATATATATATATATATATATATATATATATATATATATATATATAATGAAGAAATTTATTTCCTGACCCGGGTCACCTAACTGAATATGAGCGTTCTATCTACTGCACACACACACATGGATAGATAAATAGATATGAACTGACGTGTATATATATATATATATATATATATAGATAGATAGATAGAGAGAGAGAGAGAGATCACGATTAAATTTATTTTCATGGTTCATATTCAATTTTCAAGGGTTAAAATTTTTTTTATATAAATGTATGTTGTTTTTTCTCTGTTAGTAACGCTCGGACGCTGGCGTTTGCTTGCATGCCCATGAATTCGTTCAAGAGTATGTTTCAAATAAGCGATAAAAAACTGGAAAGGATCAGTATCAAATTAAGTAGACACAAGATCTCTATATTATTCAATGAAATATGTTTGAATGAACATATGATACCTAATATATATATATATATATATGTATGTATTGGAGGAATTGTATGACAAAGTGGAAACGCGTCACAAGTAAACGTTTTCTACTTTTTCATGCAATTTCTCCAATACTTTTTTGATATATAAAAATATATATCGTTATCTCAATACACTTAATCACATTAGGCAAACATTATATGGTAAAAATTTAGATAAAATAGATAGATAATAACTGACGAAAATGTATAGAAACAGAATGAAACTGATAGATAGATAGATAGATAGATAGATAGATAGATAGATAGATAGATAGATAGAGAGAGAGAGAGAGAGAGTTTTACCTATGTATTGTCTAAAACAGACAGATACATAGGTAAAATTCTCTAAGATGTTTGCATATGTAGGAATTGATGTGTGTTTCTGTGCCCGAGTGTTTGTGTGTCTGTGTAGTTTCTGGCACAATTTACTTAAAAAAAATGCATCGGAAAATTCTCCCCCGAAAACGTTTATTCAAAATAAATCTGTTTGTGCTCCAATCTTTTTTTTTTTTTTAACTTAAAATAGAACGCTTCATGCGTTTGTTTTTTTCTAATTCTTTCATATTTTTATCTTTTACGCTTTTGATGTAGATATTTATTTATTACTTCAGACATTTTAAAAGAAAACACAAATATTTTGTTTGCGTTTTCGAATATTGTATGGTAGACGATTAGGGACGAAGTTACAATAAGTAACGACCTTCTTTTTTTCTTTCTTTTTATTTTTATTTTTTTATTTCATTTTATTTATTTTATTTTTTTTCATGTTTCATCAAAAAAGGCGGGATTCGACTTGAGGATACGGAAGTTCGCTATTTGCAAAAACATCGACTAATAATGTTGCATTTAGACAGGCACACACACGTGCGTACACACACACACATATATATACATAATTTCGTTGCGTTGTTTTGTCTTTTTTTTTGTAAGTGTATTAAATTTTTAATACGTATATTAAATATTTTATATACACTTTAATATGCATCTGCTCTAAGACATATTATAAAGAAATATACTACTCCTATTGATCCGAATAAAAAATCAAACTTATTATCTATTATAAAAATTTAAGACGGCCAACCTTATCCTCAAAATAACAACACACCAACTAAGTCAAAATTACAAAGAACAAACATTATCTATGAGTTCAATGTTCTTTAAGGAACTGCGTTCCTCACCAAACCGGACTCATAAAATAATTACATCGGCTACACAACCACATGTTTATCCAGACGTCTTACATTACACCTATCTGATCACAGTTCCATCAGAACACATTTAAACACACACTCAGATTTACCTGACACTATTAGAAACATACTAGTAGAAAACACAAATATATTAACTGCATCCACTTGCAAAAAAGACTAAAATAATGGAAGCTCTAATAATAAAAAAGAAAAAGCCAACCCTTAACAATATTAACTATGAACAAAGCCACAATGTGCTCACCGTATTCGAAACTAAAAAAACATCACTACCACACACTGAACATACATAGAACACACACACACTCTACTAAGCTGATAATTGAATCATCCTTGATAATGGCTAAAGGTATAGCCGAAAGCGCCGGAAACACAGAACATTCGGGACAGTTCTTACACACTCTTTGTCCAGAAAAGAAAGCCTTGTCAGAACACAAGAAAAATTAAATAAAAAGCTCAACCGTAGTACCTTGTCTGTCGTTTTTAATGAAACATGCATAAAGGAAGGATTGTTGCTTAAATATATATATATATATATATATAGATAGATAGATAGATAGATAGATAGATAGATAGATAGATATGAAGAGACTATGATAGATAGATAGATAGATAGATAGATAGATAGATAGATAGATAGATAGATAGATAGATTGAGGAGACTGGGATAGATAGATAGATAGATAGATAGATAGATAGATAGATAGATAGATAGATATGAAGAGACTATGATAGATAGATAGATATAGATAGATAGATAGATAGATAGATAGATTGATTGAGGAGACTGGGATAGATAGATAGATAGATAGATAGATAGATAGATAGATAGATAGATAGATAGATAGATAGATAGATAGATAGATGAGACTGGGATAGATAGATAGATAGATAGATAGATAGATAGATAGATAGATAGATTGAAGAGACTGGGATAGATAGATAGATAGATAGATAGATAGATAGATAGATAGATAGATAGATAGATAGATAGATATGAAGAGACTAGGATAGATAGATAGATAGATAGATAGATAGATAGATAGAATTTCTTTAAAAGTTGTCCCTGATGACCGTTTCACCGTTTTAAAAGTGAAACTGTCGAGTCGGCTTACCAGATAAGTCACTTGAACTTTTCTTGATTTATTTAATATATATATATATATATATATATATATATATATATATATATATATATATAATGTAAATCATAAGATGACAAAAAATTGTAAAATAATTAAATTTAAAGTTAAATCTTCTGCGTTTGTAACTGGCGTCTGTTGCATTTCTTCCACCTCTCTCTTGTCTCCATTGATACAACGGTAAACATTCTGAAGAAGTCCTTTCGACGGACGAAGCGCATAAAATTGGCTTTTTATTTTCTATTTTCTTTCGATTGCCAGATACTGGTACCTAGTTAAAATTTCAAGCAACTTGGAACGAGATTTTTTCTCATGTCTCACCATAAGCGTCTGATCTATATTCGATAAGTTTTTTTTTTTTTCATATTAATGCTCTCGTGTCATGATATCATTTAATCGTCAGTAATAAAGTTTAATTTAAAAAAAAAATGTTTCTAACTGGAATTGAGAACAAATATCCATAAACCTTTGAAGTAAAGTCAGTAATACATCCACTATTTTTGCTGCTTGTTTGTCGTCTTTGAAAACCAGTGAAGTTTTTTTATTTCTAGTCGCAAAGGCCTAACTCTGCATCACTGGGACTTGACGCTGCACAATTTAGTCATTTATTTAAATACTAATAAAATCGGAAATTATTACATCCGGACTTTTTCAGATTAATACTGTCCCCAAAACACCTACATCCTTTTTTTAAAAATTAATTTTGTTCTTTTTTAAGTGGTAGCAGGATCAATTATCGCCGATAAAAAGAAAAACCGTTAACGGTGTTCGAAACCTGCTTGTCATCAATGATGCCTATTTCGTGCTGATCATATTGAAAGAGACACCTCGACGCGGTGTAATGGTTAACAAGCTTTGTTTCGCTCGATCAATTAAAACCGAATAGGCTACCAGGCTTCAATGAGTCTATCGGAACCTTTTCCAATCAATCCGAGGGCTCCAACTACAACTAAAATTATTGACGTCCTCATGTGCCCCATTTTTGAGATTTCCACTATCAAGATCCCTGTATTTTGATAGTTTTTCCATTTTGTGGATTTCGTTAGATCTTGCCTATTATTATTATTTATTATTATTATTATTATTATTATTATTTGATTTCTGGTGTATACTCATTTCTTTCCGGGTTCCAACCAGAGATTAAGGTCAGAAATGGCCTCATGACATTTTCCACTGATCATTTTTTGAGGAGAAAAAACACCTAAGACCCCACACATAGATAAAGCCCCTAGTAAGGCGTAGGTTGTACTTGTAAGTACAATATTTTTTTATTTCTTTAAGGCATGTGCTACCAGGAATTTCATCAATGAGTCAATCGGAACCTTTTCCAATCAATCCATGGGTTCCAAATACAACTGGAATTATTAATGTTCTCACCTGCTCTTTTTTGATATTTTCTTACGTAAACAATAACATCTCGTGGCGACTAAAGCTGTTGTCGATCATGGTAGAAAACAAAACTATTGCTCCTCTGCTTTGTATTGTGTGATATCGGTTATCGAACAAATCAGACGACAATATTTTTATGATTATCGTTTAATCAAATAATCATTTCGTGTGTTTGAATCACCCAAATTTATTTTGAACATTAAATAAAAATGACGATTTATGAAAAGCTTCAGCATATTTGGTCATCTTACCTAATATAAAATTAAAAACGTTCGAATAATTACGGGGATTTTTTTCCGAAATTTTAATGAAATCGAAAATCGTCTGTTTATTTATTTAATTAATTTTTTTTGACGTTATTTTGTCGCTGTTCCGATTATCTGTGATACTGTGTTTGTTTCGAGTACTAAGAGTTTATTCATTCAGTTTTGGCCTAACAGAAGATTAAGTTAAGATGGTGGAAGAGTAAAATCAAAAGTGACCCTTGAAGAAAAAACAAACAAATGCGGAGTCAACAAATAAAGAATGAAATCATTTTCCTTTTACACAAATCTTGAATGTCATCATCGGAAATAAATCACCAAACCGGCTGTCAAAGGAAATGATTCTTGTCGGATAATGTTTGCCTGCGGAATTATTGAACTTGCTCGTTTTCTGAGTAGATAATTTGGTTAATGGAGCAAAAGAGAGGCCTCACCAGGATATAATATTCATGATTTCATGATATGATTTCGAAACGACAGCAATGTCATATCAAATTAGTATTTATAAATTCTAACTAGAAATCCTATTCCAAATTAACATTCATTATATCTTAATACACCAAATTCTTTTTGAATAAATCAAACAAATATCAGCTATAAAAAAAAAATGCGCGTTTATTTATTTATTTATTTATTTATTTATTTAGATAGGAGCAAGACCGAGTTATCTCCCTTTACGATGTGCGTCTCTTTACATAGGTTTCTTCAGATTACCAAGTTTATTTTTGCTAGAAATACCCATGGAAGTTTCATGATTTTGCTATTTGAATTTTCTGATGAATCTTAATTAAGTTAATGATTAAATAAACTATTTGCTAGTTCTATAGATATAATATAACCTTAGAAGTTCCCCTCTTTCACCGTTAAATATTTGAGCTAAAAACTTTGACAAAATATTGCAATAAAAATCTTATCTAAGAGTAGAGTTATCTCACTAGAACAATTACGACTGAATAGTGAGTTCGAACCTCACTGGGTGCCCATACTTTCGGCTTTGTGCCACACCTAAGCTACGCTTAGAAAATCGCCATAAGTAAGAGTACAGGCCGTTATTTAAAGAAGTAAAGGGATACAAATACTTCGACTACTTGAAAGCAAATAGGTGAGAATATGTTGCGAAATCCGCGTCTCCAACTTCAGATTCGTTCGTCCTATATATGCCGCTTCACATCGACATTTAAATTTGGAAACAACCAAATTTTTCTGAAAATAGGACAAACGATCCTTACTAAAGGGAGGGAACGCAGATTTTTGTTTGAAAAACAATGCGCATCTTAACAGCATAGTAACATGACATGATAGAAGCTGAAATTCTGTCAAACAACCGACACTTCCTGCTAAGTCGAAGCTAACTTTTAAGAACTACTCAAGCAGTCCACGATTCGTCGATTGGGCAGTATTTGCTGGACAGTCCTGACTGTGCCGCCGAATATGAAAACTTGAGGCTGTGTACATAAAATTTCACCAGCCTATTTAGAGAAAAGGAGCAATTTATGGGCTCCTTAAGATTAATCGAGGGACTGTGAGTTTCTTTTTGTTTTCATTTTATACACTTGTAGAATTTATTAATCATTTTATTAATTATTTACAATTAAAATTTATTTTATTTTAAACACGTTCCAGCTTTCCCTCCTCTTTCGTTATTATTGTCGTCTTGTTTGTTTTGTATTTCGTTAACAATTGCCTTTGAAAAAATGTTGGTTGAAAGGATCCTAAAATGACGTCTATTTGTTTATATATATATATATATATATATATATATATATATATATATATATAATTATTTAAATTAAAATATGATTCCAAAAACTTCAATATAATTATTTAAATTAAATTGAGTTAAATAATTATATTGAAGTTTTTTAAATTTGTTTTGAAACATGAGACTTCTTATGTCGCGTTTTGGAATCATATTTTAAATAAATAATTATATTTATGCTCTACTTTTGTATCGAGCACTATTTTTTTAAAAATAATAAGTAAAATACTAAGGGACTTTTTGGATTATTTTACCTAACCAGTTCCTTCCAATTTTCTATATTTTTTCACATATTATATATATATATATATATATATATATATATATATATATATATATATATATATGGTATGGTTAAATTATTATTCTTGATCATAAACTTCCCATGATTTCTTTCGAACGTTCATATTTGCTCGAAGTGTATCTTACCGAAAACGTATAAACAAAAAAATATATTAAAATAATTGTCCAACTTAGTCCATTTCATATGTGATTTGTTTACGCTAAGATACGCTTCAAGCAGATATGAGCATTCGAGAAAAATCATGGGAAGTTTGTAGTTTAAAAACTGTAATTTAACCTGGCTAAGTAGAAGCTTCCTCTGCAGCTAAATGGTATAGCACGTCAAGCTATATATCGGTTGCGTGTATGGTATAGGGACATTCAGGCCGATAAATGTTGTTAATACTGTTTATTATATGCAAAGCATTTACTTAAATATTTGTATCGAAAAATAACGTATAAACCGAATATATGTGTGTGTGTTTGTGTGCGCGCGTGTGTATGTGTGTTTGTGTGCGTGTGTGTGTGTGTGTGTGTTTCATTAAAGGCGACTGACAAAGTGCTACGATTAAGATTTTTATTTAGTTTTTCTTGTGTTCGTATAAGTGCTGCTTGTGTTTGAAAAAAAAGACAAAACATTCCTATAACTCTACACACACATACACACACAAACATATATATATATATATATATATATATATATATATGGTTAAATTACTGTTCTTGACCTACAAACTTCCCATGATTTCTCTCGAACGTTCATATTTGCTCGAAGTAAGATACCGAAAACGTATAAACAAAAAATATATTAAAATAATTGTCGAACTTAGTCCATTTCATATGTCGTTTTTTTACGTTAAGATACGCTTCAAACAGATATGAGCGTTCAAGAGAAATCGTGGGAAGTTTGTAGTTCAAAAACAGTAATTTAACCTTGCTAAACAGGCGCTTCCTAAGGTAGATAAATATATATAGCACCTCGGACTATACGTCTATTCCTTGTAGGATACAGGTTCGTATTCCTGTCGGAGGACATATATTTTTTTTGAGATTTCTTGGACAATCAGGCCATTAAATGTTGTTAATACTGTTTATTATAAATAGAGCATTTACCTAAATATTTGTATCTCTAAAAATAACGTATACACAAAAAATATATTAAAATAATTGTCGGATTTAGTCTATTTCATATTATGTCATTTGTTTATGGTAAGATACTCTTCAAGCAGATATGAGAGTTCGAGAGAAATCATGGGAAGTTTTGTAGTCCATATATATACCAAATCATGTTACAGCATAATTGTCCATCCTAAAAAAAATTATATCTAAAACCCCAATAAACTAATTGAGTTTATTTTTGCAGATTTTCAGATAAGATGTTTAGCCATCTTGACACTATTTGTGTAAGAACCACTTTGAGTTATTCAGCTAGAAAATGAACAGGTTAAAATTGTTGTGTATCAGCCCCACTGTCTTCCCAAATGAGCAATGGTGAGGGGAAAAAGATCATTCAAGCCTTCAGTAATGGTACCGACATTAATACTCTGAGTCCATTCAAGAACGGTGAATAAATTTTTAAAAAAAGGAAAAAGTAGAGAGGAAAACTAGACCAGGAGGTCATAACAGGAAGAGAGATCTTCATTTCAACTTAGAGCTAAACAGATCAATTAGAAAAGATCCAACTCAATTCATAAGACAGGTGAGAAAGGAATTTCAGTTATGGCAGTCGAAAGATTAGTGACAAAAGACTTGAAAAGGATATTGTGCTCGAAACGTGTGAGACACCTTGTTACCTCAGGACAGAAAGTGAGAGAAGACAAAGCTCATCTTGAATAAGTCGGAAAATGATCCTGGAATAATATATATATATATATATGAAT